GTTTTCTGGCACTTCACAAGAGCTGGTTAGAAAAACTTTCGCACTTTACAGCCTGCTGCATCTAAAGTGCATATTAACAGTAGGAATGCAGAGCTCTGTAGTTTGAGTAGACTTGTTCAAATCCGGCAAATCAAATATTCATATCAGTATCTCCCTGACAACAAATTCCTCCCACAGTTTACTGGCTGCAGTTCCCAGAGACATGCCTTGTGGTAGTCAAGACCACCACTCCAGATATTCGACTATTCCCTGTCTGAATTCGAAATATCCATGTATGGATCCTTCAGTATGATGTTCTTATAAATATAACATTCACATGAATAATGATCCATTATCGTACATATACTGGGAACACAACGAAACAGAACATGAGCCCCATTCAGACCATTTTCAGATATTAAAAAAAAAACGTTCACATTTTCAGGTCTTTATTTTATAATGTTTGTGTTGTTGCCAAAAATCTTGAGCACTTTGCAAGACATCAAAAACTGCGTAAAAGATTTCTCTAACGCCAAATAATTTTTAAAAAATGATCAAGCGAGACCAGAAAACTGAAGAAAATTACTTCAAAAAGAAAGGTTTCAAGCTGTGTTCTTTTTTTCTCTTTGGTTTTTCCACGAGCACCATGTGTCTTGCTAGGCTCCTGACGCGAGGCTATGGTTGAACCTACCATCGTCATATCCTTCATCTTCGAATATTGGACTCTTGAACTTACATCAACTTTGTTAGGCACTACCGCCAATATCATAAAACGTTGGTGACTTCATGAACACTCCTTTTCAGAACTTCAGTCTTTGCAACAAAGAGCAGAATGATGCCCGTTGCACAAGAATTTTATGTCTGCACATGCTGTCTGAGCTGTGCAGCGTGACTTAAGTACGACGTGCTCTTTATGATGAAAGATATGCAGCAAAGGGGGACCCCTCTATTGTGTCTTCTTTTGGTTTGTAGCAATAAGCTATCAATATTCGCTGATTTCAGCAAAGGCTCCAGTGAAGGAAATAAAATTAGGGTTAGTTACACAGCTGCTTTAAGGCCCTCCACCATCTTTCCTCCCTTTATTGCATCCACCTTTTACCACAACGTACAAGTACACTTCACAAGTCACTCCGTGCAATGACCCTGTGACCCCTGGCAGCCTGTAAAAACACCTGTACAAAGTTATTTTTAGACCTTGGCTAGACGTGTGAGCCCCACCATTCGCACACAATCACACAAAAAGCAATTCCCTTTACATGTTGATGGAATCTTTGAAATCCCTTTCAGATCCCGAGGGGTTGCAGTAGAGGCACAATAGCCTTAGGGTATACGGCTTGTGCATTACATTAGGGGGTCCTCCTTTACCGTCATACCATGCTGGGTATCGTGCTGTTGGCACTTCTTCCATTAAAACCTTTCTTTGATCTTGTATTATTGATTTCGTCGAAAGAACGGTTACCGGTGCCAGATAAGGGAGGTCCTAAAACTCGAGATCGGTTTTCTCATAAATATGCGATTGTGTCAAATATTTTCGATTGAAAGAGTTAAGTTAACGTTAACCTGAAGAATTTTGTAGAATGTGTACTTTAATATCATTTTCTGGTTTCACATGCGATCAGATAAATATGCAAAAAATTGTTGTTGCAACAGTTTTCATCGCGTACGTCTGACTTCTCGCATATGACTGTCATTAGCTTCACTGCCGAAGCAACTATTGCTTTCGTTAATTTTTTTTGGCCTTATTTTGCGAAAAAGGAATTCTTTTTGTTCTGTTTTTTCTTCTTTCTTCTTCTTTTCTTCTTCCTCCTCTGACCAAAAGCCCGTTTGTTTTGTGCACGGTTTCTTCTGCCATCGACTTTGGTCCTTTGCAACTTTAGATCTTCATCAAACTTACATCATTAAAGGACCTTAGTTCAAAGATTTGCATAGAACAATGAGGTCATGATGAGGTCATCAAGTGATTTGTTATTGAATTTTAATATTTATTTTAGCCTATTGACTTTGTACATGTTTTCAAGGCTTCGTTTTGGTAACTTGACTATCTTTGATCCTCATCAAAGTTACAGCCGACAAAGACCATGATGCAAAATCATTGCCTTAATTTTGACGTCATGATGACGTCATCACTTTATTTTATATTGATTGTTGAATCTTTATTATTTCCCAATATTTTTGTACACTTTTTAACAGTCATACTTCGGTACTCTTACAGGCCTGACTGGTTATATATTTAGACTAAAAGCTAGAGAAGGTCCGAGAAGGAAATCGTCACAATGACGTCATCATATGTCAAGTGACTTGACGTTAAATCTGTAAACTTCAAAGCCTTATATCTCCTGAAGTACATGCCCGATCGGGTTCAAATCTTGCAGGATTGCTTTAAAGGAATATTGGCCTGATGCGATGATGACGTCTTCAGGAGACAAGTCACGTAACATTAACAGAGCAGTCTTTAAAGCCTTATATCTCCTTAAGAACATGTCCAATCGAGTTCAAATCTTGCAGATGTCTAGAAAAGGGAGTGCAATAGAGGATTATTGATCTCATGCGATGAAGAGTTATCAGCTGAGATGTCACGTACGTGACATTAAAGGAGCAGTCTTACTCTTTAAGGCCCTATATCTCCTGAAGTACTGAGATGTACGATCGGGTTCAAATCTTGCAGATATCTTGATGAGGGAGTGCTTTAGAGGAATATTGACCTTTTCTGATGATGACGTCATCAGGAGAAAAGTCACGAGACATTAAAGTTGCACTGTTTAAAGCCCTATATCTCCTGAAGTACATATCTGTACATATACGATTGATTTCAAACGTTGCAGATAACAAGAAAATGAAGTGTTCTAGACGAAAATTGTACCGTATGTGTTGATGACGTCATCAGATGAGGAGTCAGATTACATTTAATTTCAAACACGTTATTTCCTGAAGTATATGCTTGATTGGGTTGATACCTTGGATCCAAAGGGTCATAATGACAGATTTACGCCATCACATTTCTGCAGTAGATTTTTTTGTTGAACATAAGAAAGGGATGCGAAACAGCCCTCTGTTCTGTTGCCCAACAGACAGATGACCTTTCGTCTTGTTTTTTTTCCTTTTTCAGACTTTTCTCCATTGGGTTTGTACACGTTATTTTGTGGCATAGGACGTTGACAATTTCATACGTCAGATTGATTTCAGGCTTGGTAGACCTTTAGATATTCATGTCATGCAGGTAGGTCCTAGAAGAAATTCGTTATGATGACGTCATTACGTGATCTATTTTTGAAATTTCATTGCCTTTGCACTTAGCAAACCTGCCGACAAATGTTTCAGGATAGTCCAACACCATAATTGTCATGATGACGTCATCACGTGCGTGTTTTTTTCAAATCTTGAATGTTTAAATGTGAGTTTTTTACATGTTTTCAACAGAAAAACTGCTTTTGCATTTTTATTGATCTGACTGTGTTCGAGTCAGGGACACGCACTGAGGCCACAAGCAAGAAAAGGTTTCTGTCCAAGTTCGTCACAATCACGTCATCAGTTGACAAGTCACGTGACATTAAAGGGGCACTATTTAAAGTGCTGTATCTCGTGAAGTACATGTCAGGTTGAAAAATTGTGTTTAGCTCGAAGGGGAAAGGTTTTAGACCTAAACTGACCTGATGGCGTCATTACGTGAAAAGTCACGTGACCTTAAAGGGGCACTCTTTAAAGCACTATATATCGTGAATTACATGTCCCATTGGGTTGAAACTTTGCAAACCATGTTCAATTAGTCGAACGTCGGAAGCCCAGGGATTGCAAATTTTTGTGCTCATCAGGCACTGTGGTATGTACAGAGGGTGTGTTACTTGTATCTATTTGGCACAATGGAGCTAAAAGTGTTAAAGGTTCCTCGTTATTCAAGATCTCTACAACAAACAACTTCGTTATAAACATTGGATTTGTACTGTAAGAGCTACTTTTTTCAAATCCTGTGTTAACATGGGACCACAGGGAGGTGGTAACCGCGTGCCGTAGATGTAAAGAGGTGGAATCGATGTCTAACTAGGATATGCTGGATAAAACATGTTCTTTGTGTTGATTAAAATGGATCTTTGTACAGACAGTGATGAAGTTTTACAAAACTGAACGTTTCCGAAAGTGCACCAAATCTACACATAGTTTTTTATGTTTTTCACAAATAGACAGCTTGTGCTTTTCATGTAACATCACATCTGCATGTTCTTGACATATTGGACGTTGGTTAATTATACCAAAAATTAACAAACGGGCAGTAAGTCTGTTTATCTCAAAGTGACAAGTACAGTTGCCGTTGCAGTCATGCGAAAAGTCACAAACATGAGATAAAAACTGTTGCAACGATAAGCTATAACTTGTAATATACGCATATAGATTTATCTGATCTAGGGCAAATATGAAACGAGAACATGATTTTAAATACCATTTCGGACACCTTATCAGGCAAGGAATGGTCTAAAACTCAGCAAAACGCAACCCATACTTACTACCCGAGGAATCCTAGGTGTCATTTCCAGAAATTATTAATAATAAATAAAACTCTGGCTGTTAGCATCTGATGTTCAAACTGATATAGTTTTGTCACTTCGGAAATGAAACGTGAGGAAACAATGTCTTTCACTGTTTAACATCAGCCACCAGAGTGCTCTGAACGTTGAGCTGAATCATCCACGTCAATGAGTTGCTGTAAGCGTTATGGGGTCAAAATTTACTTTTTGTGTCAAGTAAGTGATTTGCATCAGCATCGATATTTAAAGAACGTACAATTAACTGGACAATTATTCAAAACTTTGTCGACAAAAGTAACTTCACGGGATGATTGAAAAAAGATTACATTGTATCTCCCTGTCTGCCTTATTTTGGTGTGGCATTGTTGCAACGACATCTCGCTAACATCCTCATGAATTTCAAATTGTGGGAGTGGTTTGAGAGTCATTACCACCCACACGCTATGTTCGTCACAACTGAACAACTGACGATGGCATTTCAATAGATTACCGAAAGACTGCCGTGTCTATTATACTTTGAACTGTCGATCCGAGCAACACAACCAGCAGTGAGGTACTGGGCGACAGTCACTCGATTCAACACTGCAACGTCAGTTCGACCTCAGATCAAACGTGAGTCTAATTTGAATTTGGTTATTTGGTTTTGGTGTGTTTCATTCCTCACTTCTAACTTGTTCATAAAATGTATCGTAAAGTTGGACCACGGCCCCCAACTGAATATGAGCAGCTTACGCAAGAGATAAATTTGATGTCACTTTGGGGAATTTATTAATTTTTGCAAGACAGGGCTTACTTACCAAGATGAGCCATTTGGTTCAGATCTTAGAATAATGGGGTAAAGTTACATGCGAACATGCCAGGGTTAAAATGGGTGCACGTTTTGCTTTCCCTCTTAATCTTTCCTTTATGAAGACCAAAGTCGGACCATAGTTAGTACCCTTCCTGTAGAATATTTTTAAATTACTCTTGAAACCACTTAAATGCGCATTGTTAAAATATCTGAATTTGACAAACATGTTTTTAAAATCTGTGTTCTACGTTGTAAATTGCTTTTTTGCAAGCAAGTAACAATTTATTTTGAATGTGGGTTTTTGTGTAAAAGACGCAAGGTTAGTTTACGGTGCAGGTTTTGAAATATTGTAGTATACCTGGTTCCAATTTCTGACAAAGGACAGCAAATTACATTCAGTGCCAAAAAGATTCATCGCTGGAAACTTACCTATCAAGATTACCATTTTGCATGTATTTCTGAAAGTAACATTCCCCGAGGAAGAAAAAAATTCGATGTATGTTAATGCAGTCAGAAAGTAAAGTAACTATTGATGTGAGCCCTAAGATGTGCATGAAAAAGAAGAGAATTCGGTGAACATGAAGAAGTCATAAATTTTTCTCCTGCCTTGTATTGACATCTGAATTAAACTGAATCGCGAACTGGAATTTTTTTGTGACAATTAAGGCCGTCAGGGAGATGTCCCTCTATTGCAGTCACAATGGTTATTCAATACTATTTCCTCGCACTTAAAGCCCTTTTCTTTCTGAATTGCACAGCTTGGACAGGTGGTCCAGGCCTCGGAGGGTCTTTTGTTGTACTTCAGGATCTACAATCAGTATGAAAAATAGCATGGAGGAATGACACAGAAGGAGTTTGAACTACCCGGGCTACAACATCGGGCCACTTGCCACTTTCTGGCATGCCCTGTACGTCCATAGCCCGAGCGCGGCGAACGCTTGCTACGCACCACCCGTTTCACAATCAAAAGCCCCCTTTGTTTCCCATGATCATGATGGTAGACGGGAAAGGAGGCCATGTAGAAAAACGTGCGTCATGTGCGCATATGACGCAAGATATGACACGTAGAGAACCCCCTGCTTTGTGTTGGTCATTGTTTCATTGGAATCTTAGGAACTCTTTTTAGACATCTAAGGGATGTGTTAGGTAACAATAGTCTAGAGTGTGTATAGCGATTGGACATGTTGGGGGGGCACCCCTCAGTCTCATTTCTTATTTGACACATATGTGCCTATTATGCTCAGGACTATGTTGGCCCTGGAGGGACATCACCGATCGTCCATATTGACGTCAATATTTGCAATCAAATTTACGATCCGCACTTCGGTCGTGTATATTGCCGTCAATATTTGCCACAAAAATTCATGACTCGCTCTTCACTTGCGAATACTGACGTCAATATCCACCACCAAATTCACAACTCGTTCTATCTGCGGTCGCAAATATTGCCGCAATTTTTTTTTCAGCAATCTACGCGTAAATGAAGTGTTCACGCGCACGCTTAATCGCAGACCTAAATTTTTCAACTTGCTCTCCAGTCGTCATTCAGCTGGGCAGTTTTGGCACAAGGCTTAAAAAGCAAAAGCTGAGTCTGTAACTGAGCAACTTCTCTTCCTTCTTGGCTTGCTGGAAAAAATTAAGGCAATATTTGCGACTGCAGAGTAAGTCCTGAATTATGGTCGCAAATATTGACGTCAAAATGGACGATCAGCGATGTCCCTCTAGGGCCAATATACAGGATGCATAAACAAATAAATTAATGAAAAATAACATTCACGACAACAAAAGTAAATCCAATGTTAGATATTTTTTATTTCTATATCTTGGTCACTGCGATAAGTTGGAGCTAATTGCAAAGAAAACACAACACATATTGCTACGATATTACTGACCCCACTTGTCTGGCTAAGCTGCAGGCAGCAATCAGGCATTTTGGAATGTTTACTTTTGTTAGTCTGACCGGGAGCGATGATCACCGAGCACCTTGATGTACCAGAGTTGTTTTGCAGTTTTAACCCATATTTTGATGCTTTTTTGGTTTTTATGCTTATGCATATTTGCATATTCATGAGCAGAACTCATTGTACGTCCTGTTTAATAGAGATATGTTTGCGTCCCGCACACTTAGTCAACAGAAAGGTCATTGTAACGTAACCTAAAAACTTTCACTGAACCAGGGGGTTGTGTTACATACAAAGACACGATTCAAAACCCCTCAAGATAATAGAATTTTAAACACAAAATGCCGAGGGCGACCTGCTGAGCTCGGAAGCGGAAACTTAATAGAGAGATCTGTGTAACTCTATTAGAGTTATCTCTCTTAATAATAGAGATAGGTAAAATACATGCTAACTTGGCACGTCTAAGAATTGAGATATCTCTATTTCTGGATGAAATGTTTTTTTGCACGCCATACATTTTCAATATACGTCCGCCAGAGTGTGTGCCATAAGTTAATCTGCAGTTGAAAATTCAGCCTTCCGTCACCTGTAACGAGTCGATAATTCCAGCATATACCCCCTACCTATCGTCCTAAAACCTCGGGCACTTGCGATTCATTCGACTCCGATATGCGAAACAAACAAAACATAATGTAATTGACCGTCGTTTAGGCTGTTAGCAAACATTCAAGAAGGGCAGTCACTGTTTGCAGCGGGAAAATTAGAGATCTGTTATAACACTCGTAACAGTGAATCTTTGTGGGACACCNTTTTTTTCCAGCAATCTAGGCGTAAATGAAGTGTTCACGCGCACGCTAAATCGCAGACCTAAATTTTTCAACTTGCTCTCCAGTCGTCCTTCAGCTGGGCAGTTTTGGCACAAGGCTTAAAAAGCAATTGCTGAGTCTGTAACTGAGCAACTTCTCTCCCTTCTTGGCTTGCTGGAAAAAATTGAGGCAATATTTGCGACTGCAGAGTAAGTCCTGAATTATGGTCGCAAATATTGACGTCAAAATGGACAATTAGCGATGTCCCTCTAGGGTCAACATACAGGATGCATAAAAAAATAAATTAATGAAAAATAACATTCACGACAACAAAAGTAAATCCAATGTTAGATATTTTTTATTTCTATATCATGGTCACTGCGATAAGTTGGAGTTAATTGCAAAGAAAACACAACACATATCGCTACGATATTACTGATCCCACTTGTCTGGCTAAGCTGCTGGCAGCAATCAGGCATTTTTGGAATGTTTACTTTTGTTCGTCTGACCGGGGGCGATGATCATCGAGCACTTTGATGTACCAGAGTTGTAACTCCTTCTGTGTCCTTCCTGTGTGCATGAACACCACTCACTCCCCCGCGTCCGTTATCGTGGACACTGTCATTTTTATGGCGTGCAAAGTTAACTTTTAAAGGAACCAGGAAATAGAAATATTTTTATAAATGTAACTAAAAACCCTTGAAATTGCATCTTTGGGTTTCAGTTAACCTTATTTTAAATTGTTGTTTTGTAGTTTTAACCCATATTTTGATTCTTTTTTGGTTTTTATGCTTATGCATATTTGCATATTCATGAGCAGAACTATGAGGTCATTCAAGGCATCGAATCTCAATGTTGGACTGATTTGTGCGCAGAAAATTTCTAGATTTTTTAACCACTGCCATGGCAGATTTTATTTTCTTTGGCAATTTACTGCCGTGTAAGCATATGGCAATAATCCAGTAAAAATCCTTTTCGCTGAACTTTTCCCAGATAGCACATTTGGGATTCACTATTTGAACAAGCAAACATGCAACCTGAACCATGTCTTCCTGGATTTACATCAAAGCAAAAGCGCTCTAACTTGTAGAGAAATGCTTGGTCAATTTTTAATGTGTGAAAAAGTGCACAGTTCAGCTCACGTAACTCAAAAAAAAAGTCACAGTCTTCATACATGGAAGAAGAGTACAGAGATACACAAAAAGGGATTTTAAGAAAAATTCATTTCCTGGTTCCTTTAATCCGTTTTTACAGATATCTCTATTCTTAATATAGATATCTCTTTTCTTAATTGAGATATCTCTTTTAATAAATGAGATATCTCTATTGTACGTCCTGTTTAATAGAGATACGTTTCCGTCCCGCACACTGAGTCAACAGAAAGGTCATTGTAACGTAACGTACAAACTTTCACTGAACCAGGGGGTTGTGTTACGTACTGAGACATGATTCAAAACCCCTCAAGATAATAGAATTTTAAACACAAAATGCCGAGGGCGACCTGCTGAGCTCAGAAGCGGAAACTTAATAGAGAGATCTGTATTGCACAATAAAAATAACTCTATTAGAGTTATCTCTATTAATAATAGAGATAGTTAAAATACATGTTAACTTGGCACGTCTAAGAATTGAGATATCTCTATTTCTGGATGAAATGTTTTCTTTGCACGCCATACATTTTCAATATACGTCCACCAGAGTGTCTGCCATAAGTTAATCTGCAGTTGAAAATTCAGCCTTCTGTCACCTGTAACGAGTCGATACTTCCAGCATATACACCCTACCTATCGTCCTAAAACCTCGGGCACTTGCGATTCAATCGACTTCGGTGTGCGAAACAAACAAAACATATTGATAATCTGTCTGTAATTGACCGTCGTTTAGGCTGTTAGCAAACATTCAAGAAGGGCAGTCACTGTTTGCAGCGGGAAAATTAGAGGTCTGTTATAACACTCGTAACAGTGAATCTTTGTGGGACACTCTATCTTAATAGCAAGTGTGCCTCAATGGAACAAGCCTCGTCACAAAACATTCTAAAAACAGCACTACAATACCGTAATGGGTTTTTAGGGTTAGCGTTTAAGTTACCGTAATAAATGCAACTGTCATACTGAAGTGAGCCAGTGCCTGTAATGAATGAATCAGTGAAAACGTTTCGTTATTTTTGTCAACAGATTTCCAGCTTAAGTTTCCTCTATAGGCCTAAACTCCGATCAGCCATGGTGTTCAAATATCTTTGGTAAGTTACATTATGCACACTCTGCCGTCGATAACTATATCCATTGATGTGAGGTGAAAATTTATCGATATTGTTATTGAAATATAATATTTCATCGATCAAGTCCGACCTGACAAACAATTTGACAACAACAGAGGATAAACACAATAAAACAAAAAATGAAAAAATAACATCAAAACATCCCCCAAACAAGACAAAACAAACAAGTGAGGCACTACAGACACCTTTCATTTTGCCTACAACTTGTAAAGGCGGCCAAAGTTGGCAGAAATATCATTTTCTGGTTGCTTTTCAACTTTACCGAAAATTAGCTTAAAATTAACATTTTCCCATTTCCAAATTAGGTATTTCAAATCCCCATAGGCTAACCAAATGTCCACACAATAGGTTAGAGCCAGAGCAAAAGTCTACGTAAATATCAAATAACAGATAATTCAAATGTCAATATGGAACTCATATATCCACATGAAGAAAATTGTCACCACTGGTGCATAACTTTGCTGATAGGTGCAGCATCAAATACGGCACTGGTCATTCAAATATCCCAAGCAAATAGGTAGCTATCGTGTTGAAGACTCTGGAAGTGAAGCACAATATGCATTACAAGAAGATTCCCTACGCTAAAAAGCAGAGACTTTACAATGCACATAACTGTGGTGAGGACTATGTTGAAGTGGCAAGGCTATGTAAAAATTTATTTAAAAATAATTTTGGAATAGTTTTTGAAATGGACAGTAACTACCTCATCTGGAAGGCGTTTCAAAGATTTTTGTAGGCTAAAGAAACGAAATAGACCTTATGTAGTAACAATTTAAAAAAGTATCACCTAAAATCATGATAATGTCAAACATCCACTCTTTTGAAAGCACCATGTAACATTTGGTTTCCCCGGTGGACGTTTGTTTTTTCTGTGTAGATATCTGACCCACCCAGTGGACATCTGATTTAACTGTTTGTATATTGAAATACCTACTGAAAATCTGAATGACCTATTTGGACTCGTCATATTCTTGACATTATGTATTATTATTTCTGGTTCTGAAAGCTACGTTGGTTTTTCAACATTTTTTGACTTACCGGATTACTTTTGTACCAACGGCCGGCCATAGTTTTAGGTGCTACTGATGGGAAAACACGACTGGGGCGTCTGAAGAACACATCTTATTTTAACGTCTTGCTTCAACGAAAAAAATGGCAATCTAATCGTCTCGAATTTCCCGAGGTACCCATTGGATGTGGAGAATTTCAAAAATTATTCCCCCCAAATGCATCTCCCATGCCCACTGTCTAAGATGAGAAGGGTCGACTCCCAGTTCATGCATTATTACATTTAGATATAAATAAATAAAGACGGCTGGCAACTACTTGAGGCCATCTCCTCTGGTCAACAGGGCTAACGATTACACTGCACCCTTTACTTGACCGTCTTATAATTTGACATTGGTAGCGTACTGGGTATTTGGCAGGGAGCCCATAAAACAGAAACAGCGTCGTTATTTTCCTTAGGTTGCTGTGGGCCTTGTGTATCATGGGCGAGGAACTCGGCCCGCAAAGCTGCGAAAACGGGTGTCGTCTAGCTACCACATCATGGACACGAATCAACGGGGGCTTGAAGCACGTTTCTGTTGGTAATTCAGGGGTGTGGGGTGTCAACCACAAAAACCAGATATACTACAAAGGCAACTCGTACGGGGAAGAAGAGAGCGCAACCTGCGAGGTCTGGGTAGGGGTCTCTGGCGCTCTGAAACAGCTCGATGTTGGTAAAAACGTAGTCTGGGGAGTTAACGTTCATGATTATATCTATTATCGGCGGGGCATATCTGCCACTAAGCCGAAGGGTACAGATTGGGCTCGGATTCCTGGTGCTTTGAAACATGTTAGTGTCAGCCAAAGGGGGCACGTTTGGGGCGTCAACAAGCAGGACTACATCTACCATCGCATTGGGGCCAGCAATTGCAATCCGGCCGGGGACAGTTGGCTGAAACTGAATGGGCGGCTGAAACAGATCTCGGTGGGCAGCGGGGGTGTGTGGGGAGTCAATTCGGCCGACAGCATCTACTACCGGGTGGGTACCTACGGTGACCCCCCGTCAGATCCCAATGGTAGCGGCTGGAAGCATATTGCCGGCAAGTTGAAATACATCAGTTCGGCCGATACGATTTATGGGGTGAACTCAAACAATAACATTTACTACCGAGTGGGCGTGTCGGAAGGGACACCCTGGGGTACAAGCTGGAAAAAGATTTCAGGGGGACTGAAACAAATCGAGTCTCTTTCGTGCGTGGTGTGGGGTGTTAACCGCAGTGACAATATTTACAAGAAGAAAACCGATGGTTAGAAAGGAACAAGACTAGGTGAACGAAATAACCGCAATAAGATTCGATTACATTCTAATTCAGTAAATACAAAAGATGGTGATGGGGATTTTATTGATAAACTTTGTCAATCTCTAATTGGTGGTTGGTATACGTAGACTCTGAACAAATGATTATTTTACGAGAGAGAAAACTGCCTTAGTTCTCAGATGAGAAGAGTATGATGTTTTAACATCGTAGTAACGATGTCTAGTGCACAAAGCCCATTATTTTCTTCAAGCTGAAAGGTTCTTGCTATGGCTTCCTCGTAAAATATGTCAAAATGGTCAGTTTTTATCAGTGGCGTAAATTTGTGCCGAAAATGGGGGGTCGAGTGATCGGGAATTGTGGGGGAAGACTTGCCCAGCCATGTAAATTTGAAAGGGGGGGTGTGTGTTGCCGACGGTAGACATCATTTTATGAGGAAATATTCATGACACAGATGTACATCTGTCATTATGTATTACATTCATACAGAATCTTACATAATAATGGAACATTGTTTACTTTTTATTGCTTTTCCGTATGAGTGGTATTTTGGTCGTTGGGAAGTCCAAAAAAGACATAACGTATCCCCTGAATGTTTTGCTCTCACGACAAAGAGTGGAGGAAGATTCAGACTCGTCCCCCACCCTTAAATAGTGAGGGATATATATCCCCATCCCTCCAGGATTTACGCCCACGATTTTTATTTAAACAAATACGTCTAATTAAAGTGAAACCTAACAATTGGATCGAAGAAATTATGTTAAAACAACTGGTTTTAGGAGTGGGGGCCCATACGGGCACGGAAAAGACGAGAACAGCTTTTTCATAAACTCCATGTATAATAAAGGGGTCGATTTTCTAGCAGGAAATCTCCTGTTAAAATGGAAACAAAACTTTGATAGAAGAACTCCCCTTAAAAAACCTTCTTTTAGAAAAAGCAGTGTGTAGTACACCATTCATGGTATTGCTCGAAGGTGTCTTCACTTTTGGCCAATTTTATGTTCAGATCTTAGCGAGTTTGCTTTATGTTGATGGAATTCAAACTTGTGTTCCGTAAAAGCGATTGGAGTTGTTTTTTGTTGGCACTTTTTGGAAGCAGTTATAGGTCTACTTATCACCTGTAGGTATAATACTGCAATGAGGCAAGTTCATAACTTCTATTTCTCGTTTCAACCGTCTTTCAAACACGGTTACATTTCTCGTTTAATTAAATTAACTTTGACTTGATTCTGTTGAAGTGTTAGAAAAATATTATAACATGTAAGTCACGAAACGTATGGCCGGCATGGCATTATAATCATGTTGCGCATTTTTAGATGAAATTAACATGCAGTTTCTCAATCTGTGTGTCAATTACTGGTTATTTAATTAATTTCAGAATATGTGTAATGCCACACCTGTGTACCAACTTATCTCCATTTTAACTGTTCCATCGGCTACTCGCAGCAGTATTCTTTCTCATGGACGGTTAAAGATTCTGAAGATTTCCAATATTGTTAATCACGCAACATTTTACCGTTTCACCCAGTACTGCATGTTTCCTTCATTATGGGGAGCTCACGGATCTTGATCTTTTATTTATTCCGACTTGAACCATGTAATTTCACTGGAAATAAAACAGAGCAGCATGAAAGGTTTTATGTTTATTTGTATGTCTGTCTCACGGACATTCAGCAGGTTCATTACATCGAAATAGTCTGCATTACCGTGCAAGTCGAGAGGAAAAACTGCATTCCGGTATTGACTCTCCCAATTTATAGTGTCAAAAAAGCGCTGTTTAATTAACCGCTTGTCGCCGGATGACGTGCATGTAGATACACTGTATTTTCTTTATTTTTTTCCGAGGACGCGTGCATTTGCGGATGGGTCAAAACATGGAAGATGATCCTACACGCGGACGCTGCTACTAAGTTGAACGGCACCAACGGTAATCCCAAAAGAAATGCCTTTCTTGAGTAAAGCCTGGTACAAACACGCACGTATTCAGCGATGTTCCTATCGCTTAATACCACTCATTTTGCCTATTTTCTCCTTATTACTAGCATATGCAGTCCCAATCGGCAACAAAATAGCTGACCGTTAACAAATTATCAGTTTGGCTTCAAGAGGCAACACTTCCACCTAAAAGAGCATTTTTGGCCAAAGTTTTCCGAGTTTTAGGAGCTATTGAGTTCAATTTTTGGTGGAATTATGTTGCACGGCGTCTCTTCCGCCACTGTCTGCGTCTTGACGTCTTGCGGACCGTCAGCGTAACAAACGACTGTATGAAATCTAGGCTTACCTAGAATTGAATTGGAGAGCCCACATCTTACACAATAGAGCTGAGGGGATTAAAATCTCCTCTGTCACTAGTTAAACGAATTGCTAGGGAACGAAACTACACTTACAAAAGAGATTGGTCTACAAAATACCAATTAGCAACTCCTGTGTATCGAAGCAATTGGAAAAAACAACAACAACAACAACACACGGCCACGGATGACGTGTTCATACGCTACGGACCTGATGTACGGGAACCGGTTGATATCTGGACGCGTGCCACAATATTTTACCAGGGCAGTTGAAGACAGATTAACAGAGAAACTCAGGGGGAAAAGAATGAAAACACTGATGCCTAAACTCAAGAGTTGTGTCTCCCTACATATTTTATGGGCGCCAGAAATAAAGTGCAAGGTTTAAGAATTTGCAAAAAAATCCCGGGAAGAAAACCCTATATTAATTGGCTATACTGACTGTGTTGGGTTTCTTGTTCAATTAAACATCGCAGATACCACGACAGGGAAAGCTGAGTGTCCCTGCCAAGCATTTTACTGAAAACAACTGCTTGGGCGGTGGACTTTGTTTGGCTTAGACGTTTTGTACGCGGCTTGTGGGAGTGTATAATCAGATAACTTCCGGTACATTTTACAGTTACGTCTAGGAACCAGACAAACAAGGTGGTCATATGTCCTGTGCACACGTACAAGCTGCACTTTTGCTTTAAATAAGGTGCGGGGACCAGCCCATTATAGTGTTGGTAGGACAGAGATCCAGGATGTAAGCGTTACACTCGTCTCCCAGGCACACGACGTCATGATCTCTGTAATTGGTAGCATCCCTCGTTAAGTGCGCATGCAGTGGTGATGGACATCGCACATTATTCGTACATCATTTCTAGAAAACCAACTAAGGTAAAAACGAAAAAACTTGCGTCGCCGCATCGCTTTTGGAGCCAACTCCTCACCAGAATCCGAAGGCTTTTTTTGCCTAAGTCTAATCACATTTTCTGTGTCATGCCCTGCAAAACACCGACAGACCGCCAACTGCAATTGAAAAAGTTTCTCTAACCCGACCTGTTTTTCATATGTTGAGGACTTCAGACTTAATGAGCACCCATGTCGGCATTCCTGCACTTTTCGTAAGAGAACAACACATATCTGACCCTCTTTATGAACTCTAGAATTACCTTTCCTTGTGAGAGAAGACGTAAAAAAGACCAACTATTATGGACGTTCAAAATACAAATTAGAGATTAACACCATACTAAAAAAAAATTATCTCTGGTTATCTCAAAGTGACAATTACAATTGTAACGAGAAATGTGTTTGTGTACAAACACAGCTGCTTCGGCCCTGGTTTATTTATCTAAAACCTGAAAACCAGTGACAAAATTCAATATTTAATATTGCACAAGTGCACATGAACGATACAGTACAGTGGAATATGCTAACTCCGTGTCATCTCGATAAAGGAGTGTTTATATAAGAAGGCATAAAAGTTTTATTTTCACAGAAGCTTGGCAGCCAATGTGTGGATTTGTTTGGAGTACCCCCAAATCACCAGTGGGCATCGTTTGATGCAGTGTAAATTTAGCGTGGTTACAAGATACACTACCACTTTTTTTCACACATGTGAGTAACGCAGTATCACGGCCAAAACATGGAAAACGAGGACATCTTGCAAGAATTTCTGACCGATAGGGAATCCGCCACGTCATCATCCGATGCTGGCGATGCCCGCGTAATGGACGGCGGCAAATAATTTCTCGGCAGCAGCAAAACCCGATTATCGGCGTGGGTGGAGCAAAGCCGGACCTTCATAGCAGAAACATGGGAAGACAGCACCCGAATACATCATCATACAGCGAAAGCTGTATGATGTTGAGACGACGGTTGTCAGGGAGTTAATTTAGATATCTCGAAACAACACTGACATCCAAGGTCGTATTATACCTCGGTTTAGGGGTCTTAAATTAAAGACACCTTTGGAAAATCTGGTGATTTAATGTTGACCAATGGGCTTCCTATCAACAAAACAATGTGCAGATGAAATCGCAGAGCCGTAAGGATTGAGTGTCCTGTATTGGAGACTTTTATCAAGCAACTCCCGTGAAAAGGCTAACACTTTTGCTACAGATGCCTGAACAGGATCAACCTTCCATTTAGAACACAAGTCACACCAGCGTTTCCATGCAGAATTGAACTGTTTGTGAGTATTCTACCTCCAGGATGACAAAAGTTTGTCGGACACGTTCGGTGGAATTCTTCCTGTTGCCATGGTTTACCGGATAATCTCCACGCGGCTAGTTGCATCTTGTGTGCTAGTGGGTGTTGTTCCAGGTTGTGCGGTAGGCGTAGAAGATCTGACCGCCTTGGCAGGAGGACAGGGTTTCAAATAGTAAGTTGCAATTGTAATGGTTACCAAGGTTGCGCCTTGCAGACGTGAGCTATCCGAACTACTTCTGCTCTGTCTCTGCTCATTTTCTGAAGGCATCTGGCTAACAGTACAAAAGGGGGAAACGCGTAACCTAGTATGTCGGTCCAGGTCAGCATCAAAGCGTCCACACCCCAAACAATGGAATTGGGTCTCCACAAAACAAACTTCTGAAGCTGGGTATTTAACCTGGTTGCAAATAGGTCGACTTCTGGTTGGCATGCAAAGTTGTCCATGATCTTCCAGAAAATTTGAGGAAGAAGACACCATTCGGCACTGTCGTTGAATTGCCTCGACATCAAGTCCGCTGTGGTATTCTGCGATCCCAGAAGATGCTCTGCCGAGATCCCTAAATCATGTCTATCTGCCAGACGTGACAACTCTTGGTTGTGTGTTCCTCCCTTGTGAGAAATACATGCCGCTGTCGGAGTGCTGTCCGTGTGCACCTGAACATGTTTGTTGCTGCAACAGGCCAGAAGTGACTTGAGCGCATACCACACTGCCAGAAGTTCCAAATAATTGATGTAATTGAACTGTTCTTGGTGCGTCCAGCGACCTCCCGTTTGGGTCTCGCCGAGGCACGCACCCCATCCCACCAGCGATGCATCTGTTTGAAGAAGAAGGTCGGGGGCGTCTTGAACTAATCGGTGACCATTTCAAGCTTGAATGGAGTCTGTCTACAACTGAAGTTCCTCCTTTGAGTCTGCCGAAAGAATTATCGGCGACTCGTAGGACTTGCTCTTCTGAAGAACGCAGTTCTGGTCGTTCTGTAGGCAACGATAAAAAAGAGGCGCTGGAAGCACCGCTTGAATGGTTGATGACATTCGGCCTATAAGACTCGCTACATTGCGAATGGTGAGGTCGTTGGACTGCTGAACTTGATGGCATTGAGATGCAATTTTGTCAAACTTTTCTTGTGTAAGGGATAGTGTCATGTGCTCGGACCCCAAGTTCGCTGGTTGGCTCCAGATGAGACTTGCAAAAATTTATAACAAAGTCTAGACTCTGTAGAAACAGAGGAGTCCGTTGCGCATTCTTTATGCATTCTTTGAAAGTAGCTCCCAACACTAAAATATCGTCCAGGTAGAACACACAACGGATTCTTCCTGGCGAAGGAATGCTGTGACGGGTTTTAGAATTTTTGTAAATGCCAAGGAGAACTGGACAGGCCAAACGGTAGGCACGTAAACTGGAAAATCTGTCTTAGCCAAACAAACTGGAGAAATTGGCGATGAGGCGGATGTATTGGTACCGAAAAATAAGCGTCCTTCAGATCTATGGAGGCTAGGTAGCCGTTAGGTTGCAGCAAACGTTTTACACTAGTTAGGCCCTCCATCTTGAAGTGATGATACTGAATAAATCTGTTCAGGGGCCGTAAATAGAAAATAGGCCTCAGATCTCCATTTTTCTTTGGAATGAAGAACACAGAAGAAATAAACTGACCTGCAACTTGTCTCTCTCTGGTAATCGCTTCCTTTTCCAGCATTGACTCTATTTCTGTTGACATTTTGTATCTTTGTTACCGGAATGTGATATTGCACCGGTGTCTGGAGAAGTTCGAGATGATACCTTTGGATACTCTCTAATACCCATGGGTCCTGAGTCACTAAAAACCATTGATGAAGAAAGCATTTGAGGCGCCCTGTCTGTGGAAGGAGTGGCTTGTCGATTAGTTTTTTGAACTTTGCTGCTCGAGCAAGCGAAAGCTATGTGCTGGTTTAGAACCATCACTCCCTTTGACAATTGAAGTTGCAAAAGGAACTACGGCTGAAGGCACCACGACGTCCCCTGTTATGCGAACGTGCCATAGCATGACGATATGGCGCAAACCGCTTCTCCTTCCTGGTTGTAGAAAAGCTCTTCGTTACTTTTGCTGCTAATTTATTCGCTTCCTCAGTCTCTTCAATGTCTTTCATAATTGAAGAACCAAACCAAACATTT